AGGAGGTAGGAAGGAGGAGGAGGAGGAGGAGGAAGAGGAGAAGGAGGAGGAGGAGGAGGAGTTGTAAACACCTAGAGAAATGCCATGCTGCCTTTTAAAAAAGCCGTGTAAAAAATAACAGCAACAATAATGACGCATCTTTGGTGCTCAGAACACAATATCGATACCTCAGAATAACACGGTTCTATCTCACTTTCACTCATTTAGTCTGAGATATTTTATTTCAACGTCTAGTTTTCACACACCATATCTCCCTCAGCTAAAGAACAACACTAACACAGTTATATAATGTAATTTATAGTAATATAGACCTAGTGTAAAGCGCTAGAGCTTGCTGACGAGCCGGCATATGTGCTATACAAATGCTATTTATTATTTATTGCTATTATCTCCGAAGATAAAGAGAACGAAGTTGCAACTTTCACACGGTGGAAGACAAGTACAGGAGGAAGCCCCTGACACTCAAACTCCAAACATTACAAATTCCGAGTTAGAACCTTGTTGTTCCGGGTTCACTTTTTTAAAACTAGCGCATTCCTGGCGTTTGCCGTAAGCCTTCAGCCTGTTACAGAGCCATGGACAGAAACACTTGAGCTCTCCATGGCTTAATGGTGTACTGTCCCGAAAGCAAAAATTTGAAATCAGTTACCTTCTCAACTGTCCATCAAACATGTTTTAGTTTACTGAAATCATCCTTAATCGTATATCGCACACATGTCTGTATTTCTTAATTCACCCTTATACCAAACATATGTCTGTACTACTGCGATCCCCCTATCTCTGAATATCTCTGTCAGCCACCCTTACCTTTACCTGAAATAACCAGGATTGGTCTTTACCTACAGACCTGGCAAAGGATCGAACACAGTCCGCTCGTTTCTCAGTCCATCGCGAGTTTTACGACACGACATCACCCGCAGAAACATTTTCACATTAGAAGCAGGTCTACAGCTGACATGTACACACCGCTCACGTGGAAGACACACCACACATGTACGCACACACATTCATCGAGTTCGTTGCTCGATACAATTTTTATAAACTCGAGAGAAAAGTGTAGGAAGATCAAGCCAGAGGCTCAGCCGCTCGCTGTGCACAGGATTGCTTTAATTATTTTAATATTCAGCAGTGTCACTACAGCACGTCCGAACCAAGTATTGTATTACGTGCATACAACCACTACTCCTTACCCCTACCCCTTCCCACACGCACACAATGTCTATTAAATACCACACCGGTTGTTTAACTCATCGAGGACCCACATGTTGCTTGTTTGGTGACTCCCTGTTTTGGGGTACTTAAAAAAAAGGAGCATAACTTCCGTGCTCACACAGGTATGTCAATTCTGTCTTCATTTCCTGAAACGTGAAAAGGCAGGCAACAATATGCATGCTATGAAATATACAAATTTGTGTTTAAGATTGGTGTATAATGGTTGGAAATGTGCTGCATCATTGGCTCTGGTCTGCTTCTGATCGGATGTGTGTGTGGCAGCTAGGTCGACAAAGAGTTAACGCCCATCATATCGCTGACATAGCTATCCTCACAGCTGTTACTCACTAATGGTTTGTCCCGGCAGCCAGGCTCTTCTGTGATGACCAAATTACAACAAACAATTAAATTAATTGACAGTAACTTTTCCCCGTATCAATAGTATGAGAGAAGAACGGATATATCTATCGGAGCGATATAAAAAGAGTTTATCATCGTTATTGTAATTAGTCGTTGCCACAGCTGATTGAGTCATTAAGTAAGTTCACTGAGGTGTACAATTTACAAGTTTGAGCGAGTGTCGTGTGTAGAAATGTGCCCGTCTCTCCGATGTAGAGAAGTTGTCCACAAGAAACAGTTGCCTGGCTTCAGAGGTAATGGAAAAAGCACACTGTAAATTTTGCAAGTTATTATGTTTCTGCTTGATTTTTGTATTACGTCTGCCTCTTGTTGCTATTGTTCCATTTACTGTTCGTTACGTTCATAAGATATTGCCTAAGTTATTTTGGACTGGTTTGTAGTTTTTGGTTCTTAGACGAAGAGCAGATCCAGCTTCTTAATAATAGTTCACTTGGACAAAAGAATAATCCAAATATAAAATCCCTTGAGTGTACCAAAATGCAAGTGGGTCCCTGAGTCAATTGTTCGAAATAAACAGTTTTCTCCTCATTTTCTTTTCAAAAACGCTAAAAATGACTCAGACATTTAACGGATGTTTGCGGCTAGCCTCAAATTTTCTCTTCAACGCTCCAACCCCTATACCCCCCCCCTCCTTTTTTCCCACCCTATTTCACAAGCTGACAAAATCCTCCACGACAAAGAAAAATCACACAAAGACATATTCGAATATTGTGTATCTAAAAAAAGAAAAACCCACGTAATTTTACTTCCTTTATGTCAGTAAACAACTTTTGTAATCTGTTAAAATAAACTGCGCTTTACAATATCTTTTGTACACGTTTGCAGTTTACACTGGCTCTTTGCGGACACGCATTCTAGGACATAATTTGTAATTCGACAACCCTGGAAGATGCGCTGGTTTTGGAGCACTTAAAAAAAACCCAGCATAACTTCGTTATTTATATTGTATGTTTTGTTCAGAAGTTCTGTTTTCTTATCTGAAACCTAAAAAGGCGGGCAACAGCATTCATAGTAATATGGACTTTGAAAATTTGTTTCTGATTTGTTTACAATGGTTGGAAACGTGCCACAACATATATTGGCCTGAATTATTTTTTTTTTTGTCCGCTACAGCATTCTTAAAGAGTTAAGACTTCTTTGTTGGACAAATCCGGGATCTCGTGGCTCGAGTCTGACATCGAGGAACGAGGCCAGACTACTGCGACCTCGCTCCTCCTGGAAGTCTACACGGAACTAACAAAGAACAACCCC